TTTTTCTTCTTGAGAGATGCCACTTTCTTTATCTTGTCCTTCACAAGAGAAGTAGATGCATCTTCACCCTTTTCGGTCTCATTGGTCCCATTTCCAGCCTCAACACCATTGGGTTGATCATGTTGCTCCTTAGACTCCTTTGATGATTTATCCTTCTTCTTCTTCTTCTTCGCACTCTTGCTCTCCCCGGGAGCATTATCATCCTTCTTAGCCATCTCCCCGTTGGGTTTTTCCACCTTCTTATCCTGTGCAGTACCTGCAAGTGGAATGGAGTACCAAGTCGCATTGGAATAGTCAAAGCATAATGCAAACTGCATAGAGAAATAGCGAAAGCTAAACACAGATACACATACCAATAACAAATTCCAATCCATAACATATTTTTATTAAGATAGAAAATTTGCCACAATATTAGAGTTCCGCATATTAGAAAAAGCATCACAAATGATCACATGTTCCAATTATCAAATATGTACACAACAACTTTCAGGCTCAGCACAAGATAAACATGCTTTGATTCAGGGAGTTGGAAGCAAGAAGGGGTGAAGGGAAAGAACAAACGCCAGATGACTCAATAGATAAATCTCACCATGGCCAAAACAAACCCTTCTTGTATTATTTTAAATAAAAAAAAAAAGAAGGGGGGGGGGGGGAGGAATTAATGTAGGAACTGGGGGATATTTGCTGGGCAGTGGCACAAACCACGTTGGAGAAAGTTGGAACAGGGTTGGCTGTATGCATTGAAAGAAAACTAAGCATATTTGAAGGCGAAAAGGAAAATACAAGTAGCCTTAAATATAGGTCAATCCTTTGCTAACTTTTTGTAACAGTCAGAGCTTTGTAAATGAGCTCCTAATTGGACACCAGTCAAACAACACATACTATATTTGCTTCTTGCAAATCCATTAGCGAGAATAAGGATACCCTTTACTTTTATGCCATCCCTCTCTGTTCTCATATCTTAATGCGCATATTTAATTTCTTTTCCTCTTTTCATAACAACGCTCGCATTTAATCCGTGTATTTAATTCAACCTAAGCTATTAGAACAGGATCGACTTTTCAGGAAACATAAGTCAAAGCACTAGAGATGTCTCTCAGTTCTTCCTACACATAATAGTAATTTCACTCTTTAACAAATTTAGATGCAGGAAAGACAGCAGTACAATGAACACAAATCAGAAGTGGATAAATTGTGCAGATTTTTCCTGTGGAAGCAAAGCATGAAGGGAATGACAAAAGTACAAAGAGAAATACAGGCAGTTACGAAATTGTACGAATTTCTCATGGAAAAATAATTGCTGTACAATGGCCTCTCCAGTTTTCCCTTTTGGTGAAAGACAAAGTTCTAGTTGCATATACATAAAACAAATTACCTTGTGAATCATCATTGCTCTCAGCTTTGTTTAATCCAAATTCAGCAAGCACAGCTTCAAGCTCAGCAAGTTCCTTTTTCTTAAGTTCCTTCTTTGAAAGCTGCCTTTCCGACTCTTTGGGTGCCACTATTTCAGTAGGCTTCTTAACAATTGGCTCCTTCTCCTCTGGCACGTCATGTTCTTGCTCATGTTCTTCCTCATTATCATCATCTGCTTCATCAATGCCTTCGTCTTCACTTTCACTTTCCTGATATGAACAGATTACAAGACTTAATGCAGATAAACTGTTAAACTAGTGAAACAAAAGAATGAAAAATAAATCTACATTTCTAGGACACTTTAATTTGATCACCAACAAATAAAAATATATTATTTTTAGAAAGAAAGAGGGAAAATAGCATATAGGGAGAGAGCACAAATGTTCTGTTATACCAAACTCTTTCGTTGTTCCAAACTCATAACAAAATAAGCAAGACGTGAAATTGGTTTTGTGGAGCAACTGCAGAACTAAGTGTGGCTATCTTTAAAGAGATGTCAGGGAATAAATTTCAGTTAAAGAAACACTAACTAGTTATTGATAATCCTTCAAAAATGTCTCTCAGTCGGAAATGAACCACTGGCAACATGAAAGAAAAAGGCAAGAACAAGAATTTTATTCAAAAATGCAAATACAATGAAAAGTAATTTATCAATCAAAAGCCCATTTGGAAACATAATATAAGGTAATAATCCATCAAGAGAACAGAATAGGAGCAAGAAAGAGTGAGGGAGACAGCAATAGGAAAGAAAGCCAAGGAAAAAGAATGGAGGCAAAAATCATAAAATCCTTGGGCTCTCACAAAAAGCCTAGTACACTCTAAAAATTGCATACAAAAGATCCAATTTTTTATAATGATAATTGCGAGCCAGCTTGCTTGCACCTCGAGTATTCAACCGAGTACCTGCTACCTCGCACCAGTACAGTACCAAATACCCAGCATTTTTTGTCACTTCTTGGGATCTAAACTCTGATATCCAAGGTTTGGAGCCACTTCTTTGACTGCTAGGTCGTAAATCCAATCTATATTATTGAGAAAATAAAAGATATGCTAGGTGAAGGATAACTTGACCAGGCTTTCAAATGAAAATGGACTTTAGATTTGTTTTTCAAGGCCATCAGATATTGGCTATATAATCAAGAAAGTGACACTGAAACGCGGAAACTGCTTTTTTAAAATAGGAAAACACTGTTAATATTCAGCACCATACAGTGGTAACTATCTAACCCCATATTGGTTTGCGAGTCAAGATTACAAAACATAGCTTTAAAATAGCTACTAGTGCATATGCATTTTTGTAATTGGTGTATAACATAAATTGCAATTGGACTTGAAATCTTCTTCAGTCAACATCATGTTATCAGTGTACAATAGTTAACATCGTACAAACCCTATTATTCAACATCTGCTTCTAGCTGTTTCCTGTGATTTACTTCTAGAAGGGTAACTGTCATCTCAACTGACGAGTTAAGGCCTATAATCTGGATATACAGCTAAAGAATCTAACCTTATCAAGAAATAATTAATGAAAAATCCAGAATACAGAGAGATATAGGTGCAACATCTGATACAAGTAAAATTGACTGAAGACACTCCATAATGTGGATCTAAGAAAGATAACTGTGAAATCAAATAGTACAAGATAATATTATACACCAGAGACAAATGCAGGAAGAAGCAAAAAGTGTCCATGGACCATTAGCAACGAACAGACAAACTAAGATAGAGTAAAAGAATATGAAATTAACTATATTGAGGAATATCAATAATGCATTCAAAGGCAGTAAACATCTCTATACCAAACAAAAAAGAAAATGAGTAGAGCTAGGCCATTATCCTTCAGTGATCACTGATAATGTGATTCCAGTTGACCTTACTGACCAGAGAAATAATTTTGACTTCATACATGCAGCTGATCACTCCCAAAAGCCATCTAAGGCACAAACATCAGGTACACACACATAAATTCATACACACAAGGCGCATACAAATTATGCGACCATGTGGGCAAATTAGAATGTTCAAATCAACTCAATACCACCAGCATACAGTCACCAAAAGCACCTTATAACTCTAAAATAAGAAGAACACTAACAATAAAATATTTACACATAAAGCTTTAAACCAAAAAGGGTGTTCAAATAAGGATCAAAGAATTCACACCTCCACATCAAGAGTTACAGTTTCCTTTGGCTTGTCATGCTGTTCATTAGCAGCCCAAACAGCCTGGGGCGGGGCCGTAGTAGCGTAATAATCATCATCGTCTTCATCATCAACATCTGCCCATGATTTCACAGTCAAAGGTGCCGGAGCCCAGAAAACGGCCTCAGATTCCTTATCAGCCTGCTTCTTCACATTTTTGGAAGATGAACCCTCAGTGCTCTTTCCCTTATCAGACTTCTTCTTCTTCCTTAGGGTTCCAAGTGCCGCAAATACGTTATTGTTGCTTATCACCAACTGTTCGTCCTTCCTGTTTCCACCTCCCACCATCTTTTTTTTTTCTTCAAACTTCAAAACAAGCAATAACCCGACAACGTACGTTTGTCTAATGCTATGTTCCAAAGTCTATCACTCTATGTATACACAAAATCGGGGGAAGATAAAATGCTGAAGATTGCAAAAAATCTAGGTTCTTTCAGACAGATAAGATCGACAAAAATTGATGGTTCTTGGGAAAATTTGAGAAAAGACCCAGATGGGTTTTCTTGAAATAGAAGAAAAAACGATAAGATTTATATGATCTGATCGGGGGTTAAAGATAATTTTCCGAGAATGATTTTCTGGAGAAGATGGTGGATCCAACAAAATTTATAGGGGATGGTCGGTTAAGGTTAATTTAGGGTTTGGCTGAGAGCATAAGGGTGTGGCTGAACCTGACAAGAGAGGGGAGGAATAAGGATTGTGTTTTATAACTAATAAAATATAGCAGTGGAAGATTATTACATACAAATTTGTTGTGTGTGTTTTTTGGTCATGGGTAGAAAGTTTTTGTTGGGGCGTGGGGCAATTTTAAGTGGGCGTTTGGACATAAGAATTGTAAAATTAAAATAAAAATAAAAAAGTAAAAAAAAATTTCAAGTGAAAAATGGTATTTGAAAATTAGAGTTGTGTTTGGACATCAATATAATTTTATGTTGTTTTTGAAGTTCTGTGATCTGAGTGGAATTTTTTGAAAAATAGTTTTTTGGAGTTTTTAAAATTTTCTAAAAATTCCAAAATGCATCTTCAAGTGAAAAACTGAAAATTTTATGAAAATTTTTCGAAAAAAAAGGGAGAAAATTCTTATGTCCAAACGGGCTCTATGTTTGGAAAAAATCAAAACAATTTTTTTCTCGGTGAAAGTTTACTTGGTAGTGCTTAATGTAAAATGTATGTAATTTGAAGGGATGTTTGGTTTTGAGACCACTTGGTAGCAACTGAAATATAATAATTGTAATACAATGTAATACAAGAATTAGTATGTAATCATAATATAGAGCTTATGTTACGTTGACTATCTGCTTCTCCGGAAATGTGATAGAGGTCTATGCACGGATTGCAAGGTCATCCCGAGTGAGAACCTTACGACCCAGCATATGCTTTTGATAATGGACTTAGAGATCAGGTGGACGAGGAAGAGGAGGGTTATGTCTAGTATTCCTAGGGTCAGGTGGGGTGCATTAACTAAGGACAAGGCCTAGGAGTTGGGGGAGAATTTGGTGGCTCTGGGGCCTGGAGGAGTAGCGGGGATGCGATGTATGTGATCAATGACAGCGAGTTGCATTAGAGAGGCGGCGAGAGAGGTGTTAGGGGTCTCAAAGGGTTTTTCTGGTGACCATAAAGGGTAGTGGTGGTGGAACGAAGAGGTGCAAGGAAAAGTGGAAGCAAAGAAAGCGGCATATTTGAAGCTAGTAGATAGTATAGACGAGGGGCAGAAGAGTGCCAACAAGGAGGGGTACAAGAAGGCTAGGAGAGAGGCGAAGTTGGCGGTTACGGCAGCTAAGGCCGCAGCGTTTAGTCGTTTATACGAAGAAATTGGGGTTAAAGGCGGGGACAAGAAATTGTACAGGCTAGCAAAGGTGAGGGAGTGGAAGGCCCGGGATCTGGACCAAGTGAGATGCATAAAAGACGAGGAGGGAAGAGTTTTATTGGAGGGGGCACAGATCAGGCGGAGATGACAGGCGTACTTCCATAAAGTCTTGAATGAGGAGGGAGATAGGGGCATCGCATTGGGGGAGTTGGAGTACTCAGAGCGGCAGCGAGATTTTGGGTATTGTAGACGCATACGAGTGGTGGAGGTGGAAGAGGTTATGCGCAGGATGAGTAGGGGTAGAGCGACTGGGCCGAACGAGATCCCGGTGGAATTCTGGAAGAGTGTGGGCAAGGAGGGCTTGGAGTGTCTTGCTAGGTTGTTTAACGTCATTTTTAGGACGAAGAAGATGCCCGAAGAGTGGAGGCGGAGTACGATGATCCCGTTGTACAAGAACAAGGGGGATGTCCAAAACTGCAACAACTATAGGGGTATCAAGTTGTTAAGCGATACGATGAAAGTGTGGGAGAGGGTGATTTAAGGAGATTGAGGAGGTGTATGTCCATTTTCGAGAACCAGTTTGGTTTCATGCCGGGACGGTCGACTACTGAGGCCATTCACATTGTGAGGAGATTGGTAGAGCGGTATCGGGCGGTGAAGAAGGATTTGCATATGGTGTTCATTGACCTGGAGAAAGCCTATGACAAAGTACCGAGAGAGGTTCTATGGAGATGTTTGGAGGCGGCAGGTGTGCCTGTAGCATATATTAGAGTGATTCAGGACATGTATGATGGGGCTAAGACACGGGTGAGGACAGCAGGAGGAGACTCTGACTATTTTTCGGTTGAGATGGGTTGCATCAAGGATCAACACTCAGCCCGTTTTTGTTTTCCTTGGCGATGGATTCTTTGACGCGCCACATTCAAGAGGAGGTGCCTTGGTGTTTGTTATTTGCGGATGACATAGTCCTAATTAATGAGACGCGAGGTGGTATTAACGAAAGGCTGGAGCTCTGGAGACATACTCTAGAGTCTAAGGGTTTCAAGTTGAGCAGGACCAAGACAAAATACTTGGAGTGCAAGTTCAGTGGTGTTACCCAGGAGGCGGACGGGGATGTGAGACTCGATACGCAAGTCATTCCCAAGAGAGAGAGTTTCAAATATCTGGGATCTATAATTCAGATGAATGGGGAGATAGATGAGGTTGTTACTCACCATATCGGAGCAGGATAGACGAAGTAGAGGCTCGCTTTCGGTGTCTTGTGTAATAAGAATGTGCCCTTGAAACTTAAGGGTAAGTTCTACAAGGTAGTGGTCAGACCGACTATGTTGTATGGGGCAGAGTGTTGGCCACTCAAAAAGTCACATGTCCAGCATATGAAAGTAGCGAAAATGAGGATGTTGAGATGGATGTGTGGGCATACTAGATTGGATAGAATTAGGAATGAAGTTATTCGGGACAAGGTGGGAGTGGCCCCTGTGGAGGCAAAGATGCGTGAGGCAAGGTTGAGATGTTTTGGGCATGTTAAGAGGAGAAGCACAGATGCCCCAGTTAGGAGATGTGAGAGGTTGGCCTTGGGAGATGAGAGGAGGGGTAGGGGTAGACCTAAGAAGTTTTGGGGTGAAGTGATCAGGCGGGACATGGCGCAGCTTGAGCTGACCGAGGACATGACCCTAGATAGATGGTGTGGAGGTGGAAGACTAGGGTGGAAGGTTAGTAGGTAGTCGTGCGTTTCCCTTTGTCTTCCCTAGTTCGATAGTATTAGTGCTAGTATGATACCCTTTTTTCCTTAGTTTGCTAGCCGCGTGCCTTGTTCTGTTACTACTTATCTTCGGTAATTCCGTAGTTTGTTAGCAGGACTTCATCATATTCTCGTGTGCTGCCTTGGACTTATTTGTCTAAATATACTATCTTGCTATTACTTGTTATCGGTACTCCTTCCATATTCTTTGTTATTTTCTCCGATTTAGTGTTCTAACTATTTGTCTTGCTATCACTTGCTATCAGGGCCTCTTCACCTTCTTTAGTCGAGGGTCATTCGGAAACAGTCTCCCTATCCTTCCAGGGTAGGGGTAAGGCTGCGTATATCCTACCCTCCCCAGACCCCACTTGGTGGGATTATACTAGATAGTTGTTGTTGTTGTATAAGGTACTATCTAAGAGCCTGTTTGGCCAAGTTTCTGGGAGGTCAAAAGCGTTTTTTTTTTTGTCAAAAAAGGTACATATTTGAAAATTTGAGGTGTTTGGCCAAAATAGAAAAGTATTTTTGAGCAGCAGCAGAAACAGTTTTTCTGCTTTTGGGAAGAAGCTACAAATTCTAACTTTTTCCAAGAAGTAAAGCAAAAAATTAACATTTTCAAGAAAAAAAATATCATTACCATGAAATAATATTTCCTAAATTTTCCCTTATTAATTTAACCTTTACTTTTTTTTTATCTCATCCCTTATTAATTTAACCTTTACTTTTTTTTTTTATCTCTACCATCTTTTCTTCTCGTTTATATTTTTACCATATTTTTATTCTTCTTCTCTTATTCTTATTTAGAATAATCTCTCTAATATAAATAGATCTCTTCTTTTTTCTTTTGTTGTTTCTTCTTTTCTTCATCTCCTATTACTCTTTGAAATAACAAGGCTAATCACCAAATTCAAACACTTTCTTCATAAGGTATTTTTTTTCTTTTTTTATAGTATAACAATATTATATGATCTCCAATTTGTAGTTTGTTTGTAATTTTTTTTTTAGCGTGCATGCATATAATATAATTGACATAATGCAATACTACCTAGTTTGCTATTTTCTCAAGAATTAATAGTGTTTTTCGTTCAAGTAACTTGTAAGCATATATGTTCCTATCAATATTATCGATTTTCTATATTTATATTTTATATTGATTAAAATATGTAATACATATTACTTTATATTTTATATTCTAATTACATAAAAATTAAAAATTAGGTAATTTATTTTATAATAAAATTTAAAATTTCTCTTTTTAAATAATGCTAATTGTAAATAAACTTTTACTGTCCTTTATAGTAATTTGGCACTCAAAAGTAATTATTGAAAAGATTAGCTAAACACAATTTGCTTATCAAAATTTGCAAAATGTACTTCTCAAACAAATTGGCCAAACACAAACTGCTAATTTTCAAAAGTACTTTTTTGAAAGCACTTTTGAACAAAAAGGTCTTTTCAAAATAAGTAATTTTTGGTAGCTTGGTCAAACGGGCTCTAAATAATATGTATACGGGTGAGACCGAGCATGTGGGACACCTCGGTTCTCGATAAAGCAGCCCGGTATTCAATAACAGACCCCTACAAGAATTTCTAAGTGATCGAGCCAAAAATCACTTCAGGAATAGGGACTCCAACAAGCAGACCGAGCAAGAGGAACCTCAGCACTTCATTAACATGATCATTATTGGAGTTGATGTACCCCAAGGGTCGATGTTAAAGCGCACTAAAGTATCCATTACAAGGGAAAAACAGACTCGAGATTATGTACCGAAGGGAACCATATCTTTCAACCACGAGGACGCTGAAGGTATTGTGCATCCACACAATGATACACTGGTAATATATGTACTTATAAATAAATCTTGATTTAAGCATGTGTTAATTGATCCAGGTAGCTCGTCCAATATCATCAGATCGAGGGTCGTGAAACAACTGGGACTACAAGGCCAAATAGTGCCTGCAGTCTGAGTTTTAAACGAATTCAACATGTCATGCGAGACCACTAAAGGGGAGATAACCCTGCCGGTAAACACCGCCTAAACCATTCAGGAAATAAAGTTCTACGTGATCGAATGAGATATGAGATACAATGCTCTATTCGGGAGGACATGGATTCACAACGTGAGGGCAGTACCCTCGACACTACATCAGGCATCGAAATTCCCACACCGGGAGGGATCAAAATAGTTTACGGAGAGCAACCGACTGCAAAAGAAATGTTTGCGGTCGATAAGGTGGTCCCGATGTCCGCACTCTCGGCATCAAAGAACCCAAGTTCTGTGAGGCCCATAAAATATTTTTTACCTAAAAATCTGGAATTTGTGGTGCTGAGGTAGACTTACGTGTTCATGATTTTAGAGATTCTTCGGGGTGAGCTTGTGAGCCGCGGTACAGACATTTTGGGTTGAACAGTGCACTAGGGAGTAAAGGAAAATTATTTGGCAGAAAACGCATTTATGTGGTCCACTCTGCGGGTCGCATGTCGACGCCCCCTTTTTCTAAAGCGAAAATCGGGTTTACGACATTTGGGAAGACAACTCTATTCCCGTTTGGGAATTGGGTTTTTGGATTTGAAGAGTCGCCACCTAATGATTAAGTGCATTAGGACACTAAGGGTTTTTGAGTTCGAAAATCAGAGTTCGAGTAAGGGCTAGAAATTATCTCGAGGGGAAGGTGTTAGGCACCCCTCAAGATCCACTAGTATGGTTCCCGGCCATGCTGTGTTGTCACTTTAATGCAAATAGATACACAAATAATTTTACACATAAGGGTTGCAAGTAAATACGTGACAAGTATGAGGGCTCAAGGTCTAGATGATCTACAATTTGTTTAAAAGGGGGACTAAACGCAGAAAATTAATCAACATATTGAATAAACAAAGAAGAAGAATTTGGAAGAAAAGGCGTAATTCAGTAAAATTAAGGAGGAGTTTTGAGTAGTTGAAAAGACAGGATTTTAGATATTAAACAAAGTTGTATAAGAAAAGGGGTCCTAGGTTTATAAATCACATGGATCATCCACACAACACTGGTAATCAATTGTACGCGTAGTGTTATCGTGTGATCATCATCTCCATGTCTACCCTTCCCACCCCGTAAAAGTTATTTAAACGTGTGGATTGGTCACGAATGCTTATTGCGTGCTATTACCCGTCCCATCCTATAAGTCCTATAGGGTATTTAGGACCACTATCCCTGTAGGGTAAGGTCTAGGCTGGACCCTTAGGTTTAAAGGACAAAATGCTAGGCGACATACATAACAAGTAGACTTCACATAAATGGGAACATACAAAGGCAAATAAGAGGCTCACAGATCCCTCACAAGTAAACCTGTAACTAGCACGTCTCAAACACAGTTAAGGTCTAAAAAAGAGTTTAAAACAGGAAGGTCGGAGAAGATAAATTGCAGAAGAAGCCTAAGATTTAAAACTAAGTGCCTTGAAGAATGTCCGATTTTCAGAAAGATGAATAAAAGATGGCAGTAAATTGCAGCAGTTCAGGAATTAGTAAAAAAAAGGTACAGATAAACTTGTTTAAAACATACTTTGAAAATATAGTAGTAGTATTATAGTAACCTACCAAAGCACGATTTTGGACAATCAAACAACTCAGTAAAAAGCATGATAAAACAGAGGCACGATTCCGGGATAAAAATGGGACTGGAGTTTTGATAGAACAAATTTTATAGAAGCAAACAAAGGATGAAGTACATAAGTTAAAGAGGCTGAGTAGTTCTGAAGCATGATTAATCGGTTTGTATTAGGCCTAAAGCTTGCCTAGGTGTCTTATTCATTGCCTAATTACCTTAAAGGTGAACATGCATGTTAATCCCAGTTTTAAAGGACGCGATTAATCAAACCTGCATTATTAGCTTAAACATACTGGTGAGGCGTTTCGCAAATTGTAACTCGGACAAAAATATAAATCCTAAGTAACATGGTATCTAATGCACGTAAAGGTCCTAAAACATGGTATCAAAATGCCAGTGAAAATGCAGCAGTAGTTTTAACAGTTATTTGTGAATCATTAGCTAGTTGTGAATATGAAGTGAGTATGACAACAGACTGAAAGTAAAGAGTCTAAAAACAGGATCACTACTACATGAGATGCATGTCCTATACATGATGTCTATTGCACAAATAGGTAAGTAAAGCCCTATGAGCATGTTTTCT